TAATCATCATCATCAGCATCATCATCAGCATCATCATCACCATCAGCAGCCTCTTCATCGTCATCATCGTCGTCATCGTCATCGTCATTCGGCATCGTCATCCTCATCATCACCCTCATCCTCAAAATCAGCATCGTCGTCGCAATCGTCATCACCGTCGTCACCGTCATCGTCAACGTCGTCTTCCTCGCCATCGTCGTCATCATCATCGTCAGTAGCATCACCATCATCATCATCATCATCATCATCAACAACAACATCATCATCATCAACAGCACCACCATCATCATCATCAACATCATCACCATCATCACCATGACCATCAGCATCATTACCATCAACATCCTCGCCGTGGACATCGTCATCAACACCATCATCATCACCATCACCATCGTCAGCAGCAGCATCATCATCACCACCAGCATGATTTCTCCTCCTCCTCCACCTCATCCGTTTCCTCTTCCTCGTCCTCTGCCTCTTCCACCTCCTCCACCTCCTCTTCCTCCTCCTCCTCGTCCTCCTGCCCCCCTCGTCCCGCTGAAGCTGCTCCTCCCTGTCATCCTCCTGCCGCTCCTTCTCTTCCTCCTTTCCTGGATGGGGAAGGGCGGATAAGAAGCCAGAGGTGGGACAGACGGAGGGGGGAGTGGGGGAGAGGTTGAAGGAGTGGGGGGGGGGGGGGGTGGGGGGCGACGTGGTTGGGGACGCCCGCACCCTCCTGAGGGCACAGGAGGGGGAGGAGGGGAAGGGGGACAAGGGGGAAGGACAGGGAGGGAGGGAGAGAAGCAGGAGAGGTAGGGCGTGAAAGGGATGGGAAACGGATGGGGACGGGGGGGGGGCGGAGGAGGAGGAGGGGTAGGAGGAGGAGGAGGAGGAGGAGGAGGAGGAGGAGGAGGAGGAGGAGGACAGGGATGGATGATGAGAAAGTGGACGAGGAAGAGGAAGAGGAGGAGAAGGAGGAGAAGGAAGGATGACTGATATGTATGTGTACATGTATGTGTAGATGCATACGCATATATGCAAATGCGTTTGTATGCGTGTGTGGATATACGTATATACATATACAGATCTACATACGCACACACACAATTATAGACATGCATCTATATACTATGTATAAATGTGTACGTGAATGCCCCACCCCCCGCACCTAATCATTTCGTATTGGCCGTTGAACTCTGCATTCGTACACTTACTGTCCATCCGCCATCTGTTCATCCTCGCCTACTCGTCAATCTTTCCTCTTCGGCATTTCTCCGCTGTCTTCTCGTGCTGGACTATTATTGGACTCCGCTGAACCTGGAACCCGCTTAACTCACAATAAGATATAAGTAGGTTTCAGTGGGAATACGCTTTGACACACCTGGATCTGGGACGCGCCCACTTCCACTTACATAGTCTCGAACTAGACTCCAATCGGAGTCCACTTGAGAACAGCTGGATCTGGGATCTGCTCAATTCCAATGGGAGTTCACGTATATTCCAATAGGGATCCACTTAGATTCAGCTGGGCGCCTGCGATCTGCCCAATTCGAAATCCGCCGACCCCATGAGGCGTGTGCGGAATCCTTCTCAGCTGTATCCGAGGTTGTCCCCACACATCACACAGTCCCTAGCCATCCTCGCCGGGGCCCTCCCCGACCCCCCCTGTGACAGCCAGCCTCCGCCCCGCGATTTCTCGCCCAAGCTCGGCCAACACCCCCCTCCATGCCCCTCCCATGCCCCGGCATCCCCACCCCTTGGACCCTCTGTTTTTGGGACCCCCCACCCCGCGATTTCTCGCCCAAACTCGACCAACACTCCCCTCCATGCCCTCCTCCCGAACTCGACCAACACCCCCCTCCATGCCCCTCCTCCATGCCCCGGCATCTCCACCTCTTGGACCCTCTGTTTTCCCCTACTGTGTTTTTGTATGCCCCCTCACCCCGCGATTTCTCGGCCAAATCTCGACCAACACCCCCTCCATGCCCCTCCCATTGCCCCTCTCCCCGCCCCGGCATCCCCACCACCCTTGGACCCTCCGGACCCTCTGTTTTTGGACCCCCCCCCCGCGATTTCTCGGGGGGCCCCGTCCGACCAAACACCCCCTCCCCTGTTTTTTGGACCCCCCCCCCCGGATTTCTCGCCCAAACTGGACCAACACCCCCCTCCATGCCCCTCCCATCCCCTCCCATGCCCCGGCATCCCCACCCCTTGGACCCTCTGTTTTTGGGGCCCCCCACCCCGCGATTTCTCGCCCAAACTCGACCAACACCCCCCTCCATGCCCCTCGCATGCCCCTCCCATGCCCCGACACCCCCACCCATTGGACCCTCTGTTGTTGGGGCCCCCCACCCCGCGATTTCTCGCCCAAACTCGACCAACACCCCCCTCCATGCCCCTCCCATGCCCCTCCCATGCCCCGGCATCCCCACCCCTTGGACCCTCTGTTTCTGGGACCCCCCACCCCGCGATTTCTCGCCCAAACTCGACCAACACCCCCCTCCATGCCCCTCCCATGCCC